ACAAACATATGCATTCAATTTTAATTTAACATTAAACACCATAAAAATAGCACCTTCAAAAGTACAGTCCTCATAACAATACAGCCTTAGATTGGTGACCGTAAAACATTTACCAAAATAAATTAACAGTATATTTAAAGAATCGATTAGTATCACTGGCATACATTAAGCAGTGATCTTTTTACCTTTCTTGAAAAGAAGACAAAATACAAAGTCGATAAGGTGATAGATGGCATGACCTTCTGATTTTAAAATACCCTTTAAACAGTAGTTTTTATTTGCTTTCAAAAATCAATAAGTAGTTAGTAAAGTCTCTGGGATGTCCAATTCTGTCAAACACTAGATCTCATCTAGGCCTATTTAGAAGCATTAAATAAACACAGGGATGTCCATTTGTTCCATAAATAGAATTACCCAGCAACTTCAGTATACATTATAAGAAACCACTTAAAATGCCCTAAGCTGCTAACATAGGTGACAAGTGTTGACTGTGTATTGTGTATTTAAATACAAGCAGGCCTAAAGAGGAACTTCAGGCAGAAACAATGGGGGGGGGGGGGGGGGATTTACTAAAACTAGAGTGTGCAAAATCTGGAGCATCTCTGCATAGAAATCAATCAGTTTCCAGGTTTTATTGTCAAAGCCTAGAGTTACTCCACTTTTGTTGAGAAAAAAAAAATTCCCCTCTGGGTGACCTATACACAGTACATTGCAGGAACTTTAAGACTTTGTTGCAGAGTGCATGTGCAGTGAAAATCTCTATGGGAATGGTTTTACAGTTATCAATTAGCTGCTGCACCTGCAGGGCTCTGATGAGGAAATTGGCAAGGTCTTCATCCTTTTAGATGTGATTTTGCTTTAGGAGTATCTCATCAAATATGACATTTTTTGTTGCAGGGGTGACAAAACTCTGACTTGTATCTTAGTATAGATCTCTGGGAAAATCAGTAAGCCAATCACACAAACAGGAAATTACATATTCAGGGGGCTTTCTGTACACCATTTGTCTATAAAAACTTCAGGTAGCCATATTGCATAGCATTTTACAGAAAATTACAACATTGCAGATTGAAAAGGAAAGGTCATTTTTAATAACATTCAATTGCAATGTGACTTGACTAACAACTGTATACGCTATATTATAATTTTTTTTATTTACTAATATTTTTCACAAAAAATTGAGTTACCCTTTAATTGAACAAGCTGAAGTTAGAAGCTGATTGGCTACCATGCAGAGCTGCATCAGAGTCGGAGTGCTCCAGTTTTAGGAAAAACATTCTTGGTATCAGCCTCTTCTAATTCTCTTTATAGTAGAATACAGAATAAGCGATGGAAGGGAAGAACTAAGGGACCAATCAAGTGTGGTGCATTCTACTACTACTGTTATTCAGCCTTATTGACTGCTACGGCTATCAGCATATACCAACATACAGGGACAATATAATCCTGTCACCAATTACAGTGTGATTCTACCCCTTAGGAGGATGCCTTTCACCGTTCACCACTGTTTCCACTCCAGCCGGAGAGAGGAGTTGTACTTTGGGGGCATATATATTTTGCAGTTTCGGCAATAATTGATCACTAGAGGCAGTATTTTTATCTGCGCCTCCAGCCCTGCAAAATATATACAATATTTTTGCTGTCTGGATATCTGCATAATGACATTGTTTTTAAATTGTTGTTGTATTAATAATCTTGTGGGCATCTAGCACTGTGTTAAGTGATTTGCACTTTACCTTTTGATAATTATTAAATACTATTTGTAAATATGGACTAATTTTTGATTTAAGCCTTGTTTGCTGTCAGAGTAACCCCCTGATTGAGATCTGCTTTTATTGTTCTAGTTAATGGTTAAGACAGCAACACTTACTAAGTGATGAGGCAATCAGTAACTTAATTAATTCCCTCATTGTTGTTTGTATAACGAATTTATGTTTAGACCATGGTGTGGTATTAAATGCCTTAGAAACTAAGGGTAATTGTTAAAGAAATAAAAGGGTTTGATCAATTTAACAAAAGTTTTAGTGGGATTTCAGTAGTAGGTTTAGTCCCTGTTTTGTAGAGGACATTTGCACCATATGTAAGTTAAATCTAGTGATTGGAAAAGAGTGAGCATCTGTGATTCTTGAGCGGTATCTTGGTGTGCAGTGTAGAGTGGTATCTTGGTGTTCCATTCTATGGAGGGGTCTAGAACTAGATCTGAGTCTCTAGCTACTGTTAGCAATCTTTTTTTATGTTGAATATGAGAAAATAAATCTAGTTTGGAATAAACTTAGGGAAAAGTATGTTACAAGTGCTATCTCAATGTTGTATGCCTTACGCTGGAGTAAAAGGTCTATGGGGTCAGTTATTACAAAGGCACAAGCAAAGGGCAGATTACAATGGAAGGCAATAGGAATTCCCCTAACCTTTTATGAGGCAAATGTGGTGAACAAGGTGGGGTAGTCTTTGGTCAGGAATGTCAGACAGAAGGCAAATGAAAACCTGGTTTCTTGTAAACAAATTGTCAACATTATATGATTTAAAATAAGGCTTTAGATCTTTTATGAGGTGAATTAAATCCCTGAGTGTTCTGGGAGCAGATGATAAGGGGTTGCAAAATCATGGCAGTCAACATAGTGTAGGCCACAAATACTATATATATATATATATACACACACACAGTATATATATATATATATATATATATATATATATATATATATATATATATATACCCATACATACATATATATACACACACACTGTATATATATATATATATATATATATATATATATATATATATATATACACAGTTGCAAGAAAAAGTATGTGAACCCCTTGGGATTACGTGGAGTTTTGCATGAATTGGGCATAAAATGTGCTTTGAATGTCATCTAAGTCACAACAATAGAAGAACACAGTCTGCTGAACATAATACTACACAAACATTAGATGTTGCCATGGTTTAATTGCACATAACATGTAAACATTCACAGTGCAGGGAGGAAAAAGTATGTGAGGCCCTAGCTTAATGACTTCTCCCAGAGCTAATTGGAGCCAGGAGTGAGCCAACCTTGACTCCAATCAGTGTGATGATATTGGATGTGTTGCTGACAGCTGTCCTGCCCTTAAAAAACACACACACTGTTTTGGGTTTACTGGTTTCAAGAAGCACTGTCTGATGTGAACCATGCCTCGCAGAAAAGAGCTCTCAGAAGACCTATGATCAAGAATTGTTGACTTGCATGAAGCTGGAAAGGGTTACAAAAGTATCTCCAAAAGCCTTGATGTTCATGTGTCCACGGTAAGACAGACTGTCTACAAATGGGGAAAGCTTAGCACTGTTGCTACTCTCCCTAGGCGTGGTTGTCCTGTAAAAATTACTGCAAAAGCACAGCGCAGAATGCTGCATGAGGTAAAGAAGAATCCCAGAGTGTCAGCTAAAGACCTACAGAAATCTGTGGCACATGCTAACATTTTTGTTGACACATCTACAATAAGGAAAACATTAAACAAGAATGGAGTACATGGGAGGACACCACGGAGGAAGCCATTGCTGTCCACAAAGAATATTGCAGCACGTTTGAAGTTTGCAAAAGAGCACCTGGATGTTCCACAGCACTACTGGCAAAATATACTGTGGACAGATGAAACCAAGATTGAGTTGTTTGGGAAGAACACACAACACTATGTGTGGAGAAAAAAAGGCACAGCACACCAACATCAAAACCTCATCCCCACTGTAAAACATGGCGGAGGGAGCATCATGGTTTGGGGCTGCTTTGCTGCCTCAGGGCCTGGACGGATTGTTGTCATTGATGGGAAAATGAATTCCAGAGTTTATCAAGACATTTTGCAGGAAAATGTACGACCATCTGTCTGCCAACTGAAGCACCGCAGAGGATGGGTGATGCAACAGGACAATGACCCAAAGCATACAAGTAATTCAACAAAACAATGGCTGCAACAGTACAGAATACGCCTTCTGGAGTGGCCCAGTCAGAGTCCTGACCTCAACCCGATTGAAATGCTGTGGCATGACCTTAAGAGAGCGATTCACACCAGACATCCCAATAATATTGCTACACTGAAACAGTTTTGTGAAGAGGAGTGGTCCAAAATTACTCCAGATCGTTGTGCAGGTCTGATCTGCAACTACAGGAAACGATTGGTTGAGGTTATTGCTGCCAAAGGAGGGTCAACCAGTTATTAAGTCCAAAGGTTCACATACTTTTTCCTCCCTGCACTGTGAATGTTTACATGTTATGTGCAATTAAACCATGGCAACATCTAATGTTTGTGTAGTATTATGTTCAGCAGACTGTGTTCTTCTATTGTTGTGACTTAGATGACGTTCAGAGCACATTTTATGCCCAATTCATGCAAAACTCCACGTAATCCCAAGGGGTTCACATACTTTTTCTTGCAACTGTATACCCATACATACACATATATACACACACTATATTGCCAAAAGTATTGGGCCGCTTGCCTTTACACACTCATGAACTTTAATGGCATTCCAGTATTAGTCCATAGGGTTCAATATTATGTTGCCCAACCCTTTGCAGCTTTAGCATCTTCAGCTCTTCTGGGAAGGCTGTCCACAAGGTTTAGGAGTGTGTCTATGGGAATGTTTGACCATTCTTCCAGAAGCACATTTATGAGGTCAGGCACTGATGTCGGATGGGAAGGCCTGGCTCGCAGTCTCCACTCTAATTCATCCCAAAGGTGTTCTTTCAGGTTGAGGTCAGGACTCTGTGCAGGCCAGTCATGTTCCTCCACCCAAAACTTGCTTGTCTATGTCTTTATGGACCTTGCTTTGTGCACTGGTGTGCAGTCATGTTGGAACAGGAAAGGGCCATCCCTAAACTGCTCCCACAAAGTTGGGAGCATGAAATTGTCTGAAATGGCTTGGTATGCTGATGCCTTAAGAATTTCCTTCAATGAAACTAAGGGGCCAAGCCCAACCCCTGAAAAACAACCCCACACCATAATCCCCCCTCCACCAAACTTTACACTTTGCACAATGCAGTTAAGCAAGTACTGTTCTCTTGGCAACCACCACGTCTCCACTGCTCCAGTAACAGTGTGCTTTACACCACTGCAGCAGACCGTTTACATTGCACTTGGTGATGTAAGGTTTGGATGCAGCTGCTCGGCCTTAGAAACCCATTCCATGAATCTCTCTATGTACTGTTGTTGTGCTCATCTGAAGGCCACATGAAGTTTATAGGTCTTTAGCTATTAATTCTACAGATAATTGTGCGCTTCAGCATGAACTGACCCCGCTCTGTCATTTTAGGTGGCCTACCACTCCTGGCTGAGTTGCTGTTGTTCCTAGTTGATTGCACTTTGTTATAATACCACTAACAGTTGACAGGTGAATATTTAGTATCAAGGAAAATACATGGATGGACTTATTGCACAGGTGGCACATGGTACCACGCTTGAATTCAATGAGCTCCTGAGAGCATCCCATTCTTTCACAAATGTTTGTAGAAGCAGTCTGCATGCCTAGGTGCTTGATTTTGTACACCTGTGGCCATGGAGGTTATTGGAACACCTGAATCCAATGATTTGGAGAGGTGACCCAATACTTTTGGCAATATAGTGTATGTAAATATATACAGTATATATATATATTTTTTCTTTTTAATTTATATTAATTTATTTGTGACCTACACTATGTTGACTGCCATGCTATATATAAGTCCAAGTAGCCAAACTAGTCTGAGGGAGGGTAGTGTTCTGAACCCTTGCGTGGGGAGGTGGAGAGGGTGGATTGAAGTGGAAAAAAGAGTGGTTAAGGAAGGAGCAGCAAGAACTTCATACAAAATTTCATGCTAAGAGAATTGGTTATATTCAGTGATGAAGAGTTCAGTGAAGCACCACCAAAAAGGTGTAGAGATCCTTTAGACTGTGTAAGTTCGGAGGAGGTGGTGTGTGTAGGAGAACTTCGGGAATGGGGATGTGGGAGGGATAAGGAAGGTTACCGGGTAGGGGCATAGGTTGAGATGGATATTGACAGGCCGAGTGTGTTTTTTTTTCGAAAGAGCATGAGTGTGAAAAGTGCATTTTGTCTCCTGAAAATCTTAGTAGAGGATGTAAAGCATATTTGGGTTTACCACAGAGGCAAGGCATCATAAATAGTAAACTTAAATATGAGGTATTTAAAGCTGGATATCAGGTATGATAAGCACTAGCCCTGATGCACAGCAACATTCCGAGAAGAAGAAAAGACAATCCCCCTTTTGTGTGTAGTATTTTTAAAGGTTTTTAATGTCAGGAGAGTTGGGGGTCACCTCTGTCAAGCTTTGTGGTATTCAGATCAGACATTGTTTCACCCAGTTCTCGTAGTCTGGCTACTTTTGTGCAGGAGGTAACAGATATGCAACTTCAAGTAGCATTCTATGCCAAAAAGCCATTGTGAGCCTCCAAAGTGCTGAGAGAAGTGAAGGGTAACATTTTTGAGTTTATACCTCAAGTGCAAATTAACCACTTGCCTACCTGGCACTTTTACCCCCTTTGTGCCCAGGCCAATTTTCAGCTTTCAGTGATGTTGCACTTTGAATGACAATTGCGTGGTCATGTAACATTGTACCCATATGAAATTTTTATAATTTGTTTTCACACATATAGAGCTTTCTTTTGGTGGTATTTATTTAATAACTACTTGGGTTTTTATTTTTTACACTATAAACAAGAAAAAGAGCAGAACATTTGAAAAAAAAAAATGTTTCTTTGTTTCTATTATGAAATGTTGCAAACAGGTAATTTTTCTCCTTCACTGATGTGCGTTGGTGAGGCTGCACTGATAGGTAGCACTGATGGGCACTGATAAGGTGGCATGGATAGGCAGCATTGATGGGCACTGATAGGCTGCACTGATGAGGTAGCACTGATGAGGCGGCACTGGTGGGCATTGATGAGGAGGCACTGATGATGCTGAACTGATATGCAGCAATGAAGGGCACTGATAGGTGGCAATGATGGGCACTGACTGGTGGCACTTATGGGCGGCACTGACTGGTGGCACTGACTGACAGCACTGACTGACAGCACTGCTGGACACTGATGGGTGCAACTGCTGGGCAGCACTGATGGGTGGCACTGCTGGCCACTGAATATCAGTGCCCTGATTATCAGTGCGGATGTCCTGTGTGACATTTGCCAGTTATCAGCAGTACTTTCCTCACTCTTTGACAGCGTGAGGAAAGTGCTGACAATCACCAGCAATTGTATTTACAGTGTGATCTGCTGTGTCATTAGACACAGCTGATCAAGTGGTAAAAAGCTGCTGTGATTTGCCTTTTACCTAGTCACGTGATCAGCAGTATCCATAGGACAGAGGTGATTACTGACAACGCTGGGTGCGCACTTCCAAAGGTTTGAGCGGGGGGTACATTATGAGAGGACATCATATGACGCCCTCCCAGAATTTGACATCCACACTGTAGCTGTCATTCGGCTATAGCGCAGTTGTAAAGTGGTTAAAGAGATTTGAAAACTCTAAGGCTACGTTCACACTAGCCTTGTGTGCAGGCGGCAGAGAGGCGTTTGGGAAGCGTTTTTACCGCTTCCCAAATGCCTCTGCCAACTCTGCACATTACAGCACATGGTGCTGTTCTAACAGGAGCGTTTGCGTCGCGTCGCGTTGCGTCGCGGCAAAACGGACGCCTCTGGTCGAGTCAGGAGGCTTTGAAGCCTCCTATTCTCGTCTATGGTGCCGCTCCGCAAACGCCCGGCCGGCGTTTGCGGTGCGGTTGCGACGCGGTTGCGGGGCGTTTGCGGAGCGGTAACACCACTCAAATGCATTATAGGCGTTTGTGGGGCGTTATTAACGCTCGGCAAACGCCTAGCAACCGCCGCTAAACCGCGCATGCGGCGTTTGCGGAGCGTTTGCCGAGCGTTAAAAACGCTCCGCAAACACCGGACCAACGCTTGCCAAACGCTATAGGGGCGTTTGGCAAGCGTTGGCAAAACAGCCTAGTGTGAACGAGCCCTAACAGTCACACAGGCCAGGGTGCAAAGTTGTTCAAAAGCCAAAGTCTCCATGAAGTGGGTGACAATAACAGCACCCAAAACACCAGGCGAATGTAGAACCTGAATGTCTCTAACTAGTGGGTGTGTAGGGATCTGTACTTATCATGCAAAGTAAGATTAGCTAGATAGTTCTCACCCATTCTGTCAATCAACCAGAATCTGAGTGTGGGGAAAAAGGACTTGGTAATGTCTGAAGCAGATGTTAGGCCTTTTTCACAGTGGTTTCAGGCATAAGGTTGAGGTCTAGGAGAGGGTAAGTTGGCTTGATTTCCTTGCGGTCTGGTGCAAAGAAGTAGTCACAGGGATTCCACATTGTCTGTGGCTTCTTCTGGTGTGAAGAACGAGTGGACTGGACCTTATAAGTGAAAATCAACTTAAAGAGGAAACCCTGCAATCTGTATTGTGTTGGTTGCCAGTTCCGCAAACAGTTGATATTGATGATTTTTAAATTTAAGATATGTTTTTTAAAGGAAGTTTGGAATAATGCTTCTCTTGAGTGATAGAATGTAGATTTATTGATGATATTGCATGGAGGGTCATCTGTTTTTTTTTTGGGCACTGGGCCCTGTGGATCTCACCAAATTCTGTCCACTCTATGGGCAAGGACGGGGTTAGTGCCTGGAAGAGAATGATGGCAGTGGAATTCAGTTGATAATGGTCTCTGGAAGGATATGTAGTCTGAGACTGCTTCCTCTCTGGTTTTTGTTATCTTTTAGCCACAGGAGATATTTGTCAAGTTCATTTCTTAGGACCTCTAAGTCCTGTTCATGGCTGTCGATAACTGTGAAGGCATCATCCATCTTTCCATCTAAGGTGTCAGGGAGGCTCCCCAGTTTCCTAATATATTCTATAAAATGAACTGTGAGTTTGTTGGTGGCTGCTTTGTGCTCTTTCTAAAGCATATATTTTAATTTGTCCAGGAGGGCTATATCTCCTGGTGAGAGAACCAGTTGGGCAGGCTGAGAAATGGAACTACTCTTGGTGCATGAAGAAAGATCAGGGTCCCCAACAGAGGCAGTTGGTGAGTGCATTGTACATGTGGCCAGTGTTCTTGTCATATTTAGAATGTAGGCCATGCTTCTAGTGGGACCTATATTATGGAAGCTGTAGTTATGTACTGCTAGTGATTTATTTTGCCCATAGTCGGCTGGAGAGTTCCAGGGAACAGCAATGTGGGGTTGAGGGGAGAATAAAGCCTCTGAGTTGCTTCTAAGCTGGGTGATATGTCCAGTTCTCAAGGAGAGAGGTTAATATGTGTCCTATCCAATCGCTGCTTCCAAGTGCCCCCTAGCTGGTATCTGTTTTATGATTAGCAGCAAAATGTGACAACTTGTAATGAATTTTTGATATACCATTAAATAAAACATTTTTCTACCTTTTGGAAGCAATGAATACCCAGTTCCATTCAAGAGAGAAAAAATCAATCTCACATAAAATGGGATTTGTGTCACAAGGGGCAATTTCCTGCTGAGAAAATCATTCAAGTGCAAAGATTGTACACATTCATATAGCAACAGTCCAGTTTTTGTTTAGATTACTAACATGGCTTTCAAAATATATATATATATGAATAGATTACTAGATGATTCTGACATGTTAGTATTTTTCATATCAAGAACTTAGTATGAAGTTGAGGTTAAATAACAGTAGTCATCTGTGCACCAGCACTTCAATACTAAATATAATGTTGTGAAAAAGGATAGGAGTAAAGATTTTCTTTGTCCTGCAAGTGTGTTTGTGTGGGGGGGTTCTGTACTTAAAAAAAAAGAAAAAAAAAAAAAAAAAAAAAAAAAAGAGAGAGATCTAGTTCTGTGTATCGCTAATATGTTTACATGTTACCAATACTAGAACATAAAGATATGGAAGAGAGTAACATGAAAGGAGCAAATTACGTTTTATGAGAGTTAATGCAGCAGAGAATGATATTTAAAGTAGAATTATGACCGTCCATTACAAAAATATGTGCTGCGGCACTTAAGTGCATCTGCACAGCACTTACAGTTTTCTCTTAGGTCTTATTCACACCATGTCTGTTTAGCTACATTTTTCTGCCCATGTATGACATGAACAGGATATGTAGAAAACAATTACATTCACTCACAAGGCCAGGTGACATTAATGGTTGCCACTTATATCCTTGGTTTGCAGCCCATTTCTTTTAACTGGTTTGCAAATTAGTTGAATGTTTTGAACATTCAGAATAATAGTAAACTGGAATACAGCATTAGGAAAATGGCATTCAGATCACGTAATCTATTATAAACAATCATTTGGGCGTGTTATATTGTAGGTAAGCTGACACAGACCTGGGCAATTTAATTGATGAAATATGGTTTTTATGACTCAAAATCATACCAGAACAATCAGTAGGTTCAAATCTATTGACAGCTGAATGTATATGCAGATCTTTTCTTTTTTAGTAAAGGTCTGTCTTGGCCTGTCCTCTCCTCCCTTCTGGGTCACTTTATTGTACCT